TTTGAAATCCGTGGACGCCACACCTTATTTTCAGCCACATCCAACTGTCACAGGGGTCAACTTGGGATGATCAGGGAAGTCTTGACATCATCAATCTCATGCTCGGATTTGGTGGAACATTTTTCGGTGGCTTGTCAACTGGGAAATCATTAATTCAATCTAAAGCGCCAATACATTCTCAGGACTCAGTAGACAGCGTTTCCTAGTACCGTCACCCCACGTCTGGACGGACTTCCAAACTCCTGTCGGCCCCGATCACGTTTCCTCCGAATCGAACCTCAATGACCTTAGTAGAGCGGTATGTTGACAAGCAATCGCTTAATGGATTGACATGTGGTGAGCAGCTTGCTAGCGGAAGGTCGCCTCTGGCCTTTATTAAGCCCCCATTGACGCAGCATGGTAACTAAGTAAGGTACATGGAAGGAACCTAATAATCTGGGTCCCACGGTGCCTCATCAGCTTTCTCCTGCCAATGATAGTTAGGCCACCGAGTGAATCCGTCGTAGTGGGAGTTGCGAGGCTCGGCTTTTGCATCAGGGACATGGTCGTGGAAATGAGATGACCACTTGGGATCATTCGTATCCATGCCCTTGCCTAGATTTTTGTACGAGATGAGAAAAACGATGCGACTTCCGTCCTCGGTGTCCTTCCATTCGTACTCGTAATTCGTATAACAAGACTCGCAGTGCGTGATCGATATGTGGTTTTTGGGTCCATATCGCGGCTTGACGGCTGGGTTCCAAATGTCGCGAATTTTCTTCGCCGGATCGTATCCGTACCCTTTCGAAGCGCGGTATGCGTGAAGTTTGCTCTGATCGGAAAGGAGTCCATCGTAGTCGAATATGAAGGGGTATGTGTCTATCCAGTCAACGTGTTTGCAGCATGTTGTAAGCTCGGCTCGTTTGAGAATTCCAGCGGCGAATCGAACTTTATCCTTCGTCTGGTTTGGGTCGCGGCAAGCAAAGAGTCTCGTAGTCGTCTTCACTAGCAAATCCCCTTCGCTTGACACCCTACATTCAAAGCCTTGTTGGACGTTGGCTTCCTCTCTTTTATAGCAGTAACCCCAAATAGTACCCGGTTCTAGGAGTATTGATTGAAAGAAGCCCCTTTTATCGCGTTTCGAAACTAGGAAGGCCTTGACCATATTGAAATGAAAATCGTATGGAAGGTAGGGAGACGACAATCTCTGGTGCTGGTCCTCTGAGACTGCTTTGACGCAGGGGCGATCTGATTCGGTCAGCGCCCAACTTGAGCTGTGGTCGACTGGCGGAACCGATAAGACGGGATCATGGAAAATCTGACAGGGCAAACAAAGAATCTCCCTGCGTGTGTTGATGGCGTCCCTCTCTAGTAGCTTCAACAGATCCAGACGTTCACTAGACCCCCGATTTAGCCAAAACTGCTCGTTTGACATGATTGCCAGCATTCTTTTGCTCGTCAATGCCAAGGCCACGCGTTCGGCCATACTGAGGTGTTTGGCGATGGCCAGGTGCAGTTTGAGTGGCAGGGCGTGATCGAGACCGGGTCCTAAGTCCGGTTTCTCCTTCTTGGGGTGACTCGGCAAAGCTTTTATCCATCGAAGGAAGCGGCGCAAGACTAGAGGCTGCGCCGGATCTTTTTTCAGCCCATCGATAGACTGCGAAACTTTGGCGTTCGAGTCTAATGCTTGTAGTGACTCTTCACATGCGTTGGCTGTTGTGTGTGGAGCTGAAGATAAGTTTTGCGATTCAGCTTGAGCCTCATGGAAAGGATTTGTTTCTGGACAATTGTCTTTCCGTCGAGCTGCAATTTCTCTGTACGATCTATTAGACCGAATGAGATGCGGCATTGCCGCTACGAGTACATTCAAAGCCATGTGCCGTTTCTGAAGCGGTGAATGAATAAGTTAGGTAAATCCGACAAGGCGAGACGGCTCTTCAGTGTAAAAGCTGCAGTACTAGGAATAGCCACAAATTATTAGGGATATGCTGACCATAAATACCCAAATACGTAAATGTGAGCTTAGACGGCGTTCATCAGGGCTCATGTGACTCGTCACCTGTATTCATTTCGTCAAACTATCAGGGTCTTCGGAGATAGGCTTAACATTTGGCTTTTCAAGTGACTCTTTCCTCAGGCTGTCAAGATGTCAAAACGTAGATTGGGCCCTTATTAGTTTCAAAGTTTAAAGCTACTTTGAGCACCTTGAAACAAACATCTTGACACTCCGTCGGTACCTGGATAGGCATTTTACAGGTGTAGCGACTTGTGGACTGCGCATGCCGCGAGAAGGCGACTTTGGCAGCGTAAATGACAGGACTAGCAGTTCAGGCCAGAGATTCTTCAGACTTCACGACCAAATGTTCAAGACAGTTCAAGCCAGTGCAATCAGAAAGCAAACGTCACATTAATTCCTGGCCTTTTGGCCGATAGGCCGGCCGCACGCGAAGGCAAACAGCAAAAACATATACAGCTCAACAAGAGCACCCCACGCCCACCAATACAGCTGCCATGCCAGCCCACGACTCCCAAGCCACCCGCATGGCCTCCCGCTCCGCCTCGGGGAGGGGGCCACTGTTGTTGCTGCTGCTGGTGCTGTTGGTGTTGTTGCTGTTGCTGCCGCTGTTGTTGTTGTTGTTGCTGCTGCCGCTGGCAGGGGCCGGAGGAGCTGGAGCTGTTGGCGGCGGCGGAGGCGGCGACGGAATCGGGGCCGGGGCCGGGGTCGTGGTCGTGGTCGTGGTCGGGGCGGGGAGGGGTAGCAGAGGGGCCGAACCCCCCCCCCCCCCGGAGCTATCCCCGGCGGCCCGGGCTGCGCGCGACTTGGCGGCCTTGCTTATCATCGACCCGTTGTAAAGGGGGAGAGTGGGACTACCTCCATTGTGAGGCATTTTTGGCGTATTGCGTCGGAATAGACGGAGAGCTGAGAGAGACGAGGCGGGAAAGGCGAGGCACGGCCAGGGGACGGAGAAGACGGGAGAGACAGGAGATGGTGGAGACTGATGAAGCTGATAGGGTACTGGCTTATATAGCACGGGAGACTGAAAAACAGCGGCGAAAGATTGGATGAGTCGGCGGCTGAAGAGGAGAGAATCCGAAGAAGGGTGGTTGGGGGCATGAAGGGGTTTTAAAGGGTGTCACTCACTCACACGGGCGCCATCAACTCTTGCTCTGCTTGATATAAATGAGCATTGTGAGAAAGAAGATATGGGTCTACAGCTATTTCTTTCTTGCCTTGAAGTAGAGAGGGAAAGTGGTCATCCAAATAAGCGCATTTCACGATGCAGGTGTCAGTGAAGATGAAAGCAGGTCGCGACTCTCCGTGTCGAAATCTTGGGTGCGCGTCGCGAGTCACAGGATGGAAGGCCGGGCTCCTCAAAGGATGAACAAGGCAGCCTCTGACGGGATGTGGCCCCGAGAGGAAGTGCGCGCTTGCTTGCAGACATTACAAGACAGTTATGTAGGTTAGTTGAGGTGGCAACGCAAGTCGAATGAGTGCATGAAATGTTTACACTCGAGGGCTACAAAAGACAAGGTGACGATTTTCAGTATCATTTTCGCGGAACTGTCCTAGCTGAATCTCTGAAGCTTAATGGCTAGGCACCGTGGATTCGTCTCCCTGTCTCATGTCAAATCACCATGTGGCTAATGTCGGGGCAAGATGCTGGTGCAAAATGTTTCGATCGTGTTCTTTATTTAGAAAGCTGGAAAGACCTCCTAAACGGCCTGTGAACAACGGATGTTGCGTTACGTACCTTACTATACTTAAGTGGAAAGCAGGATAGACATACATCTTTCGCCGAGCGGGAAGCTGGCAGGCCTCTTTCCCGTGGGTAACCTGGAGCTGGGACCAGAAGGTCCTATGCCGGGCGGCGGTGGTTTTCAGATCTTTAAGTAAGTAGGTATGTGTCAAGAGCAAGGCAGGCTGCCCAGGCAAGGAAGGTGAAAACGCCATTGCGTCACAAATGAAAGACTGATTGGCTTGGCAGGCACACGATCTTTCAAAAAGGCAATGGACTTCTACGTGTGGAAGGACCATCATCTACGATGTGAGAGTCAATATTAACTCGAGGCTACGACTGCCAATCTGAATCTCACACAGTCCAGTCGATCTGTTCTCCAGGGGGGGCAATTTTGCAGAATCCTTTACGACTGAGAATTTGGAATTGTCTGCTCTACTTGCCCATCCTTTTTCCTTAGTTTCGTAGGTGGACTTTGTTACTACTGCCGACATTGTCCGCGCCACACTCATCCTTCTTTTCGGCTCAGGACCGTCGTTGATTCAGTGGCCAACAACTTATCTCCAAGTCATCTATGCAACAGTAATCTGGGCAGAATCTTACGTAGGCATGAAGGGCAAATGCCGCATGATGCAAGCAGCTTCTCTTCACTGCTTGCTCCCGAAACGCAGCCTTAGCTGTCGGAAAATAGCCAGACCTCACTCATGATTCTTACATTTCTAGACGAATAAGAACTTCGTGACGTTTTCTGTACCGATTCCTCTCTCATGTCCCCTTACCTACTCTGGCATCGAGGCTGTTAAGATGACTGGAAAGTAAGTTGGGATTACCGGTCCATTAGCTCCCATAGGCCCAGACCTGAATACCTTTGGACAGCTTGACGCCTTGACACCTTAACAGTGATCTATCCATTAGGTGAGCGTATTTCCAAAAATGATCTCCCACTCATCCCTAACTTCTCGCCATACTGTCTCATACCGAGGTCTCCTTTTCGCCCTTTTCATCATGACCTCCACCTATACCAACATCAACACCACAATTTGTAACGGATTAGGCTATTTCTTTCGGCGAATTCTGCAAGTCATGTAATGAAACTATCTCAGTGGTATACCGCTAAGGATTGGTTTGCTTGTAAGGATAGCAGCCGTCATGTGATTATGTGATTAATTACTTTACGTGTGCATTGGACGGTGTGCCATTTGCTACCCATAACATAGGGCCAACAAGTCTTCGCGGTGCAAAATACTAAGCTGCTCCTGAAGCCTAATATCATAAGGCTTACCACTACTGCTCTAGTGTGAATAGTATCTCCGAAGGGTTGCCGTCTGTTACAGAGATTCCCGCGATTCCCTTGCCAACCGCCTTAGCCACTTCTGAAGCCACCACTCCGTAAGGACTAGCCATCAAGGTGTTCCAGCCCTTCGTCTCACCGAGGTCATTAGTCGTAGTGAAACCTCCGGCACTCTCTCCAAGCTCAGTGCGTGCGTTGCTAATCGCGGTTTGGGTCGCCGGGTCGACGATTTCGGAGAACTTGATGGACGTAACCTCGTTGATATCCAATGTCGTGGCTGTCCAAAGCTGTGTAATGACCGAGCTAAGACTGAGGCCGAGGGGAACCTGGCTTGCCCACGCTTCATTGGCAACAATTCTGTACCCGTAAACATCGCAAAGGACCTTCATAATAGCTTGTTCGCCGTTTGTGAAGCCATCGGTGTAGATCGCCTTCCAACGTCCAAGATCCTTCACGGAGTAGTCTGAGCCGCCAGTTGCGCTGCCCTCCTTTGCCGTGAAGGTGAGCTCATATCTGGTAGATTCATCTGCTGTAGCCGAATTGTGGAATGCTTGGCGCATGTCTGCCTTCTTTGCCGGCTTTCCCGGAGGCTTCAACAGCTCCGCGCGCGTATCGTCGACTGTGAAGCCCTTTGGTGGTCTAGGTCGGGGCTCGGTCGGCTCGACTGTTTCAGTAACATTTCCCTTGTACCAGTATACTGCTCCGCCATTGCTGAGTCCGAGGGGGATCAACGAGTTGATATCGATAATAAGACCTCCTTCTTCCTTTGACTCTCGCAGTACGCAGTCTGCGATAGACTTGTCCGACCTTGAATCATATCCACCCCGAGGCAGAATGTAGCCGACCTGGTCGAAGTTGCCGTTGGCGGGAATCATCCAGATTTTGTCTTCCTTGTCGTAGCCAACAACACCGCAACGGATACGGTTACCAGTAGCCTTTTGGAGGACTTGAAGAAAGGTTAGCTACGGGATACAGCTTTGGAGTTTGGCCTCGGTGGTGAGGACTGGCGTCAAGACTTACCAGAGCCATCTTTGTCGCCACCGTCAACTACATCGGCGGGCAGATACCAGGGATCAACCTTTCCCATCGGTTTCCAGACAGCTTCGCTGTCATCTCCAGGTAGAAGGTCATCGGTTTGAGCCTTTACAGCAATCAGGCTGAATGCGCCCCAAAGGGCCAACTTTTGAACGTTGATCATGGAGTACTGCATGCTGGCCTGGGTTCAATGTTCAAGAGCAAATCTTTGAAGTCTCGCTCAGATGAAGCAGGCTATTGATGCTCGGGAATTCAAGAGTATTCGTATATACTTGTGCCCCTGCCATATCCGTGCATCCTCTCAGTCAGCTTAAGGCCTCATTTACCAGCAAACCATAAGAATGGGCTCAGGGCCACTATGGCGTAACTTTCTTTGAGTGCTTCCATACTTCGTCACTTTGGTTTTTTGACATCACTGTATTTGGGTTTGCCCAGGAATTAAAGGCAACTGTCAGGCCTCCGTTATAGCAAGTCAACCACCAAGCTATGAGAGGTTTGGTTGAAATTGCCTATGGGCCTAATAGCGAAGGTAAGTTTTAGTCCCTTGGTCGCCTCACTGTGTTTTACCTCGCCAAGAATGCCGTTCGTGCTATTCGCTGACTGGGCGCTGTGAGTAAGTTTGTCGAAATAGATAGTCTCCGGTTCGGATATAGCCGCCAATTTGGGTTTCAGCGATTAATTCAACTACACTCCACTCCTGGTGCGGCTCCCCCGAATACTAAAGAGACGCTAAATGTCTGATTTCGCCTTAAGATGAGCTGCTCCCAACTTCCCAACTACCACCTGAAGCCAGAATAGAGTTTGCACTGCTTCCGAGGTGCCGAAAAAGTATGACTCGGGCGTGTTTCCGGTGAAGCCTTTCCCAACATCATCAACTTTAGTCACAGTAGCCCAGGGCCATCACTTGGCCTTCTGCTAAGGACTCATCGGTTATGCATGTTTGATTGGTTTACTTATTGCCTTCATCCTACGTGAACAACGCATGAGGACTGTCGAAACAATCGTCCCAGGTGTTTCCTGCAGAGGCATAAAATTTCTCTAGGACCTCTTTAGCTGCGACTGGAAGATAGATTCCCATCCTCTGACTGTCTTCCTTCATACGCCCCAGAACGAAGCTCTGCATGGACAGGTTTCCACTCTTCGCCTCGAACCCGGCTACAATCATTGGCCATGTGGTGCAGATCTTCAAGGCTGAAGAGGCAAGCGAGGCTTTGAGAAAAGAAAACAGCCTGTCACGATGGATTTCCTTGACAGTCATCCAATCTTTCGAGAAAGGAATGATCTTCACACTTTGTAGAGAGGAAACACCGAACAGTGCCACGGCTGACCGATAGGTCTTGGCCATTAAGAGGTGTTCATCTGCTAAAGGTTCCGCGCTACTAGACCAGACTTCAGGTGAATAGTCCAAAATCTTATCTAAAAGACGCTCTGCTTCAATCCTGATCGAGGTGAGAGGTCCTCCAGATTGAATGCACGTTGCTTGGAAGCGAAGGCGGTTGATGTGAATGATGTCGATGAGTAAGTCGACTGGACATGGAAGCTGGGGATAATATCCAATCGAGAATACGTCCCTCACTACATTCCGTATCTTAAAGTTTGCGACTGGCGATACTTGATCGTGGGCGGGGCTAGTTGTATTGGCGAGATTCTCGATGCTAGATGACGGGCTGGAGTTAGTAGCAGGTGACGTATGCCGTGATGACTACGCCGAAGCAAGGCTAGTATGTCCTAAACCTGGTGGCCTTGATAACAAATTGTACAGGAGACACTCACACTTTACAGAATAACACTAGGGACTTGAGATGCGGCGACTTTTGACAGAACGCATCCCAACCGCCACGCATAGCAATCAACGCAGCAAACCCATTCAAGTGGACACGCCAGTTAGGCTCTGTTGCACTCCCCATAAGCTACATTCCATCAGTGTCAGGTTGCGCATGGGTGTAATAGCATTTTCTCCCTTACATCACCGAAAAGGAAGACGATTACGCCAGCCAGAGTTGCATCAGAGCATCGCGTACTCTCGTTCTCGATGTCCTTATTTAAAGCCTGGATCGCTGTAAGACGATGCTGATAGGCCCTAGCTCTGACCTCAATTGCGTAAGCGTCATTCCTTGCAGGCGATAGGCGTGACATCCGGTGCTCGATTGCCATAGTGACTAGGCCATGCCGTCGGTATGGTTTCATAGCGTGAATGTGGGAAATTGGTACAACCCACGGGCTCTTAGTGAGCTGGTTCTCGTAGAAGTATGGGTAAACCTGTTCGTTCCCTATGGGTACCGAGGTGCTTGTCAGCCCAAATCTTTTGGCATGCGCAGGTAGATCCATTGGGATAGCATGGTTCCAGAGCACGGTTTAGAAGTCTGACTAACAATAAATTGAAGCCTCAGCAATGTCGCATGTTTCCGTCCGGAGCTCTTGTCCGGGAAATACATGGATGAGCTTTACCCGGCGACCTTCTTCTTCTGGAATCTTCGGTATCGCCTTGTTTTTGCCGCTGCCTTTCAAACCCTTCTTGGCGATGTCGATTTTATCAGTTTTCGGTTTTCGTCCGCCCCTCCATGTCCGCGTCGTGACCTGATTAGGGGTCACCCAGGTCAAAGGCTTCACGTTCTCATACCCAGGGCACACTATGCCGCTAAGCTTGCACCTGGAGCATACCGGACGTTTAGAATCGCAGACCAAGCCCCGGCGCTGACATTCCCAGCAAAATCGCCTGGTGCTGCCGCTGCCGGCGCTATTGTCGTCGAGGCTCTCTGACGCACCAGTAGAGGTGCGCGGCTCTGGTGATGGCGCCATCGATCTGACTGGGAGGCGGGAAATTGAGGGGAAAGACTTGTACGTTTTAGGTTATTGGAGGTATTGATAGGAATCGCCCGTATATATTGCCGGCCCGGGGTCGTTTCGTAGTACGTGTGCCTCCTGAGGGCGGGAGAGCTACCCGCCCTGCCCGCGTAGAAGAGGGGACGTTCCGCGGACGCCGGTGACTGGCGATGCGAGACACTCGGTGGATACTTGCAGCTCTTGGCTCACTCCTTCTGCTGATCGGTCAAGGCCTCACAAAAACCGTGTCTTTCCAGCTTGATCTAGGGGCTGGCTGCAAGGGACAGCCAATTGTGCGAAGAACAATGTCTGAGCTAGAGCCGGAAGAGGCACTTTTCACTTTGTGGCAGTACAAAGCAGTATTGGGCTTCTCACTTGCCTTGAAAGACTGGGAATACGTATCTAGCCAGTTGGTCCCGTGAACCAGGGTTGTTGCGATGCATATTGGTTGCTTCTCTAGCTTTAGTGAAAGTCCCAATAGGGCCTGCAGCATTCGATGTGTAACATGATGACGCAAGCCTGATTCTTCCAAGCATTTGTCGTAAAACCTGTTCCGAGATGTAAGTAGTCAGAAAACACCTGACGTTTTCGGTTAGACCTGCTTCACAAGTGTGGATGAAGCTTTCAACTTTTAATGAAATACCGGGGCTTATCAGGTTTTGGAAAATCATTTGGAAGTGAAACCAGCCAGTCAGTAGTAGCGCACAAGACGGCGAAGATGTATAATGTCTGGTAGGACAAAATGGCTTCTTTGCATTTAGACTCGGAGAAAATCTATCTGGGTCACGCCCATAAAGTAGTACAGATCAGTAGATACTACTCTCCTTCCTTCTCGAATCATGCATCGTCTTGATTTGACTAAGTGCACGAAGAGCACATGCACGGAAGTCAACATCGACCGAACAACCCCGAAGATAGAACTTCGAGGATAGAAGGACTGTAACTTTGATTGGACCCGGCACCTTAGCACCCCAAAAGACAGTTAGGAGTATTTTCGTAGACTCGAGCAGATAATTGCTACAGACCGCCGATGGCTCTTTACCGGAACCTCAGCCCATGGAATCAGCACATTGTTACCTGAGGCCAATGCTGCAACGGCAATAACAGATGGGTCTGATAACCCCATCAGACTCAGTAGGGGTGTAAGTTATTCGATCGTAGAGCCCAGAAAATGGCTAGAACGCAGTCTTTACTTTTGTCAGCCATGTGCAGAGAATTAGCCGGCCCTTTGCACACAGCCGCGCGCGAAAGGACAGATGGTCTCCCCTGCCAAGGATCCGCGAAATCAGAATTGGCAAGTTGGATCCGTGTAGATCATTCCGAAAAGCGTCGCGTCTCCGGGGCATGACACATGTCAGGCTTGCCAGCCCACATCAGACCCTTTGCAGACGGACAGAGTCTCCGAGCTACAGCCTCGGCATTGACAGAACTTCATGTACTTTGACTACCATATCTTAGAGGGTGAAGAGATCATGCTTCTTTATCCGTGCTCAGAGCCGCTCCTCGTTCATATGATGGCATTGAGGCTTGGAAGGTTACATGGGCACCGAAGAGAAATCATGAAGTAGGAATTTTCCTCTCAGGGAGATATCCGATGTGGCCTGTTGTCAACTAAACTAACACCTGTTGCAAAGAAAAACACTGTAGACCCAGCTTTCTTGGCCATCGGCGGTGATTCTAAACTTGGTCTTGTCTCTTGAAGTTTCTTGAGGCTGTGCAGCATTTCGGGCACGGATATCAGCCCATCTATGTATTTGATACACTTCGCAATGGCCGCCAACAATGGAAACGTTATGCAGCAATTGGTCGTCGAATGGCAAATAAGAGAAACAGAAAATAGTACAACGCAAAAGCTGAAGCGTGAGTTCTGGCCTTAGCTTAGATGTGGGATGGTATGTACACAACTCATGGTAGAGCATGTTGTACCTTATTTTTCGGCATCAGGTTGAGAACATAGAAAGGAGATACAAGCCGAAAACCCCATTGCTCTAGGTTTGAGAACAGCGTGTATGTGGGTAAAGATTTGCCCGCCCCTTACAACTGTACGCGGAAGAGCTCCGACGAGGTCCTTGTCTGTCAAGGTTAAGCATGCCATCGCGGGGGTGGGTACACACCTATTTACAGTTTAGCATCTGGCTAGGGTTCGTTTAAGGTGTCAGCCATCTGCATCTATCTCCACTATGCTGGTAAACTCCGGCTCTACTCTTTTGCGATCGTCGAGAGACGACGTAATCGCTCTCCTGTAATCTCGTCATTCCCTCAAGGACTTTCGGAGAGTTGACTAATCCGCCCGGTCTACAGGAAAGCCCTCTTCAGGTGGGCAAGACATTGTGACAGGTCATTTGTCAATATGTAAAAGGGCTTAAGCTTAAAGAAAGTGCCGTCTTTTTTCTCATTTGCGCGATTCATACCTTTGAGTTGAAATCCCTTAACGCCAGAATTCTGAACGAAGTAAACTTTGGGTACGGGTGGGATTAGCCCTTCGGAAACGCCTTGTAGCAAAATAATGCTCAGCCTGAAGTATCTAGCCGCAGGTCTCGCATAGTAGTTCGACCGGGTCCACCGTCCTCTTCACCGTTGCACAACGAGGCGGTAATCGAGTTCCGCTGTGCCGCGTTCCGAGACGGAAGCATATTGGCCCCGGGGTACTGAAGATCTCTGAAGATCTGACTGCCTATCCCGGTAGCCCTATAGCAGAAAACGTCCTCCCCGGTATGCTTACGTGAACTACTGCCGTGTCGTCGTTGTGCAACGATGTGACAGATACTTGATAACAAGAAGTGGGCTGTCCAGTAAATTGCCAGGGCTGTTCCACCCAGCAGTTGGCGCCACCTCAGGGGCAATGATGGTGGTAGGTAGAGCGTAGTCAAGGAGGGTCCCCATGCTACAGACAAGAGTTGGAGGCTGTGTGTCTCGTTGAAAATACCACCCTCGTCCGCGAATGGCAGGTAGACGCTACACCGAACGAGGATCAGATGATGGTATTGCTTAGTCCCTACGGTTCTAGTCTACAAGCTTGAGCTTTTGTCTACCAGCAGCTTGTCAAAGGGGCAGGAGCATGCGACTTTGTGAAATACTTAGGTAGATACAGGCAAGGTCTGGGCCCTTTGGGCCCGAGTTTAGGTCCGGCTGTTGCACCCAAGCGCGTTTCTATCCACCACCATGTGCGCTGGGTGCCAGTAATTAGACTGTTTTATGCGGGGTGCAGAACGGGACTGCATGAGGTACAGTACTTTGCTCGGCTTTTTGACCTAAATTGTAGGATCCCTGAATAGCATCGATATCGACAGACTGTACAGTCGTCCACATGTCGGTGTTCCCGCTGCCCTAGCTATGACCCAGATTTAGGAAGTTTTTGATGAGGGCATGAATCGTTCAAGTTTGAATTACGCGTCCTTGCTCAACTTATTGAAAAGTACGATGTCTTGAAGTGTACAAAAGGAACGCGGCTTCGCATCCTGCACATGATGTTGTTTCATGGACCACTCAGCATTCTTTACACTCACTCAGTCTTTCATTCACAAAAGCTTGTCTCTCATTATGTTACCACTCATGCTTCTTGGCGCCCTGGCGCCAAGTGTTCAAGCCGTTGCCCTGACCAAGGGTAACACGACCTTTGAGCAACAGTGCGCCTCTTTTGCAACTTCTCTACGTATCAACGGGGCCAACTCCACCGCCTCCGAGTACGTCCCAGCAGGAACCACCTTGCAGTTCCCGAACGCGGATCCCACTTGCAGTCGTCCCTCTCAGAATGTCACGGCCAACATCTGCCGTGTCACCGCGCGCATCGCTACCTCGCCTCGCTCTGGTCTCAAGTTCGAAGCTTGGCTGCCCGAGAACTGGACCGGCCGCTTCCTCAGCACCGGCAACGGCGCCCTCGGTGGCTGCGTTCAGTACGAGGATCTCGCGTATGCGTCTTCCCTTGGCTTCGCTTCCGTGGCCACCAACAACGGCCACGATGGCATGAGCGGACTCCCGTTCCTGAACAACGAGGATGTGATCGAGGACTTCGTGTACCGCGCCCTGACGACTGGTGTCGTCGTCGGCAAGGACGTTACCAAGTCGTTCTACAATAAGCCCCATACGAAGAGCTACTATCTCGGCTGTTCTACTGGAGGCCGTCAGGGCTTCAAGCAGGCTCAGGCTTTCCCCGAGAACTTTGACGGCATCGTCGCCGGAGCGCCGGCCTTCTCCTTCAACAATCTCACCTCCTGGAGTTGCCACTTCCTTCCCCTCACCGGCCAGCAGGGCGCGGACACCTTCATTCCCATGACCATGTGGCCGACTATCCACGATGATATCCTGGCCCAGTGCGACGAGCTGGACGGCGTCAAGGACGGCTTCCTCGAGTCCCCCGACCTCTGCGACTACAAGCCTGAAAGCCTCCTCTGCGGCGTCAACAGCAACCAGACAGACGCCTGCCTCACCCAGAAGCAGGTTGAGACCCTCCGTGGCATCTACGCGCCCCTGATCGACGCCTCTGGCGACCTCGTCTACCCGCGCATGCAACCCGGCGCCGAGCTCAGCGGCGCACCGCAGACCTACTTCAACGGACAGCCCTTTGGTGCCTCTGACTGGTTCAAGTACGCGATCCTGAACGATTCGACCTGGGACCCGGCCACGATTACTCCCGAGGACTATGTGCGCTCATCGAGCCTGAACCTCTTCAACGTCGAGACCTGGGACGGCGACCTGTCCCCTTTCCAGAACCGCGGTGGAAAGCTCCTGCACTACCACGGCCTCATCGACGGCACGATCTCCAGCGATAACTCGCCCAGGTACTACGAGCACGTGTCTCAGACGATGGGTCTGGCCCCAGCCGAGCTGGATGAGTTTTACCGTCTGTTCCGTATTTCCGGCCTTGCTCACTGCAGTGGTGGCACCGGAGCTGCGTTCATCGGTAACCAGGCCAAGAACATGGCGAGCCTTGACCCTGAGGAGAACGTCCTCATGGCTATGGTCCGCTGGGTCGAGGAAGGTGTTGCCCCTGAGACTGTTACCGGCACCGCTTTTGTGAACAACACGGTGAGCGCTGGCGTCGACTACAAGCGTCGCCACTGCCGCTGGCCGACACGTAATGTCTTTAAGGGAACTGGGGACTACAAGGATGAGAACAACTGGGAATGTGTGCCGATCTAAGGAAAAGGTCTTCGTGGTGACAGGAATTGATCCAGTAAGTCAGCTTGTCGATACGTGTATTTACCAGATGGCAGTTCCGTATGTTTGTGCGAATACTTAAAATACTATCCACGTACATAATGTTCTTCCAACTCCCTAGAGACTTTCCATCGTAGAAAGGGAACTCAATAACTTTGAGGAGCAAATGACGCGGTGATACCCTGTGACACTTCAATATGATGCATATTGTTTCAGATGAGTTCAAATTCGACAAGGTCTGTCAGCAAGAAGTGCAGTCATGAATATTCGTAATTATTAGTACTAGGTGTATGATCATTCCGACGTTAATCCAAACGGTCCTTGCTTCTAGACCTTTGGCTAGCCTCCTGAGAGGGGGCTAATGACTGGGAGCCGACTTCGACAACGCTCATGTCCGACCGAACGTTGAAGGTTCGGCCTCTCCAGTTCACCGTAGAGCCGCAGAAAACAGCCCAAACCCAAATGGGAAGGGCCAGAAACTCTCTTCCGAGCCACGCGGGCAGCCATTCCAAGAAGGACCTCGGAGGTGCTCCACCAGGTGTCGCGGTGCCCCTGGCAAACTTTGGCGTGTTCTCGTCCACTTCAACAGTGTACCCAGCATGGAGGCGGTTGTATGTGAACCAATCACACGCCATCCAGATAGTTGTGAAAGCCGTCCAGTAGAGGCCAAAGGCGCCCCAAGTCTGCGATGTTCCAAAGGTGCTGTGGAACCAGGGGAGAGTGGTAACAGCGAAAGCAAAGTAGCCGCAACAGGTCAGGCTCTCAACACCAGGCTCGACCAAAGTGGCGGCGAGAACGGTCCACTTGCGCGCACGAAGCCATCGAGCGCGGCGGGCAAAGTATGCGTGTACGGACATGCCGGCCATTGGTTGAACTGCAAGGTCGCCCATGACGAGTCCGTGGTTCTTCATGCCCGGCAGACTCGACTTCCACAATAGATCGCCAATCAGGTGATCCTCGCAGATGTACTCGGAGAAGTAGTTGATGCCCTTAGGTAGGTTCTTGTTGGGTAATATCGGGTTTTGGGCTGGGTCCGTTACGGTGTCCAGATGCGATTTGCGAAACATGTTGCTCTTGCCGACGGCGCAAGGGGCTACGCCAACGGTGTTGATCGCGCTGTAAAACTTGGCGTGACTTGTGGCCATGAACATCTCATCGAGTCGGCCTCCGCCTTGGCTCTTCGAATACTCGAGGAACGAAACACTTTGGCCTTTGCCGGTGATGTGTTGCGAGGAGCTAGAGTCGGGGGTTGAATATAGGAGCGTCTGCGTCTCTGCTGAAACGTCTCCTCGTGACACCGTATCGACGACGATTGGCAGAAGGTGTACAAACTTGTACGGCCTGACTTGTTTACCATCCGGCCCGTATCCCAATAGCTTGTCAACCATCCGACCAGCCACGCCCTTGGCAACCCAGATGTTGCAGTCCATGACCCAGATGATGTCTCCTTTGGCTTCTCGATATGCGCGACTGATGTTTCTGATCTTTGGGTTTGGGCCCAGGTTGTCGGTGTGGCCATCAGTGCCATGCAGTAGCGGATCTTCCTCCTCAACCAAGACTCGAGCATCGAAACCAGGGAAATCCTGTACTATCTTCACTAAGACGGGGTACGCCGGATCGATCTTTTCGGCCACGCAGAGGTGGATCGTCAGCTTGTCGCGCGGGTAGTCTTGTCTAAACGAGGACGCTATGCACTCATAGAGACCATGCTCAAGACCCTTGACAGGACGGATGATGGTGATGTGCGGTACATCTTCTTTGCTCAGAGAGGGGGAGACGGCGGGTCGCAGGCGAGACGAGTACGAGAGGAAGCTGAAGAAGGTCAGTGGATGGTCCGCATCATCTAGAACTACACTCACATTCTGACGATACCAATGGATTGCACTGCATAGACAAATGTGCTCCACCCAGCACAAACGATCGCAATAGCTTGCGCCACGGATGACCAATCTGCCATTATGGGATCGAGGCCGTTTTGCGCTGCGCGATGCGCGGAAAGGGGGGTTTGGGATCAAGGATAGCTGGTGCGCCCAAATACCATGGGAGGGAGGAAACCGCGGCAGAAAGGAAAGGAAAATTCGTCACGAAGTCGCCGACAACATGGCAATGATCAGACTCCCGAATCCTACCTACCCAGAAGCGAGGAAATTGGAAATTGGCCGTAAGCTTAGCTGAGACGGGGCCGATAACCTTACAAAAGTCGGTAGGACCGGAGACTGGGAGTCGCGTGGCATGGGATTTCGACGCGCCCCACCAAGCTCGAAGCTTGAAATTGTGACCATCAGCCACATAAGGTACCTTGGGAGTAGTGACTGTGGCGGGAGCTCCGATGGAATCTGAGGCTTGAGCCAGACTGGATTAGGTAAGATTCATCTTATGCCTGTGGGCTATCCCCACCCGAGTTATTCCGGCCGGAGGTGAAAGCCGGGCCTGGGCACGGACCAGTGGGTGAGCGAGCCTTGAAAGAGTCAGACGGCGGGGGCTTTGACGGAAGCGAGCGATGGATACGGCGGAGACCTTTTTCTACGCTGAAATTTTCTGCGAGCAACACCGTTTTCTTCCTTCACCATCCACACACGTCTGCCGAACAGGATCGAGCTGCCTCGAAAAAGTGAGGTGATTTTCGGCTTGCATGGCCCAATTGACGGGTGATCTGTCGGCTGGACGGGTGGAAAATTCCTCAATCAAGTAAGTTGCTACAACGTTCTCTCAATCTCTTCTTCCCTTGGTCCATGAGGTGGTTGCCGCGGTTGGCCCAGCCCTGCTTGATCGTCGCGATGACTCTATCGCGCGGTTGAAAAAGGTTACCTTGGCTGCCCCTCCACCTGAATGTTTGCTATGATGACACCTATTACCCATTGTGCGAAGAGTGCGTCTTCATTGAACCTCTGTGCCGCGAAACAATATAGACTACAACGGTATCTGATGCAAACTTTGGACACAATTCTTTTTGTTCTTCAAGCACTGAGCCATGGACAATAAGCTGACCAGTGCCCAAAAGACAGACATGATTTGCTAGCATAATGTCGCAAACTAAGATTACGGCTTCACAGCCGGCGCAAGCTACGATGCCTGCCCAGAGCTCCTCGAAGTCTCCCACGACGTCGCGGCCGCGAGGCCCTCCGTTGCACAAGATTTACGAGTTGCCTGCTCCCATACGGACATTTCCGCTTCCTAGCTTTTATCCGAATAATCCAATTTCTCTATTCCATGTCCTTTTCGCATGGACGAAACAAGCCTTGTTCCCACCGCCTGCTGAACCGTCCACTGTGCACGAGGGTCTCTGGTCCCCAGAATCCAAATCTGTCAACATCATCGACGAAAAGTCCATGCGCGCGCTGTGGGAACAAGGGTTCTACGGCAAGGGCAACTTAAGTCGAAGTGAGCCCAACTGGTTGAAGCGCGAGCATGTCAGGCGAGGCCTCGTGCCAGGCCAGGTCAGCGAGCTGGTAACAGCTAACAGACGTGAAGAGCGAAGGCAGATGAAGTGGGAGAGAGCCAAGACAGAGCAAGAAGCCATCAGACAATTACGACTCCAGGAAGCCCAGTTGGCGACTCAGGTGTCAGGAGATGGCGTAGTCAACTCTGCTGCCCTGGTCACCGAGGCTGACGCCATCCTTGATGCAACGAACAATGATGATCCTGAGCGAGAAGCCTCGACAGACGCGGATACACTGCCTGAGCCACTTGTTCCCCTTAAATCAGCGCTTGCCGCCCAATCCAATCACCTGCAAACCAACGGTGTCGATACGATAACGGTGGCGTCCGTCACTGAGCCCGAGGCTATCGGCCAAATTTCTACCAAACCCTCGACCTTCCAAGGGGCATCTACAGCTATCGAGCCAGCCAAGATTGTCAAGCCCAGTGACTTCCTTCATTCGGCCCAAGATCTTGAGGCTGTCGACGAATCCGAAAATGCCCTGCCGGTGGGCCAAGTGCCTTTGACGCCTCTTCCTGTCGCATGGAATGCTCCCGTTGGCCCATTACAACTGCTGTGCCTTCCCAACTCGCATAGTCTGTCTGCGACAGCAAACTCAACTGAGATTGAGACGTTAAATGGTGGTGCTCGGCAAGTCAACGGCATCCACGAGCCTACTACATCACAGGAAATTGGCTTGTGTTCCTCCGAGCCCCAAGCCAAGGAACCATTCGTCAACGGCATCTCAACTATATCAGCAAATGCCTCGCCGGTTGGGCCCCTGGAGCTTTTATCTCTCCCCAACGCCGAGCCTGTTACCAACGGAACGATGAATGGCGACCACGCCACGATGACGAACATTGATGAGAGCCCTGTTACCGACACTACTCCCTCCGCAACACCAAAGCTGTCGACAATCCATGAAGACGTGGGCGTAAACGGCCATCTGATCAACGACTTGATAACGAATAATAATGGTGACAAGATGCTTCATCAAAATGGTTTGAACGGGGTGGCAAAATCCGCTGTCAACTCTACCGAGATCCCATCAACACCCAAGTCGGCCAAACGTCGCAAGAGCGTTCGCTTCTCGCCCAAGGTTGAGTCGGCCACATATCAGCTGTCCGACCCGCCTAGCCCCAGACTCGCTCTTCACAACGGAAACAATGGAAAGGCGACACCGCCTGTCAATGGCACGCCATTGGGCCCTAGCGTCTTGGAGACAGATTCGGAAGAGGTGACTAGATCTGATGATGTCAAGAAACTTGAGAAGCTAGACGATGTCCATGCGGAGGCAGTCGAGGTCGTGAACAAGGAACACCTCCAGCTCACATCCGAGGAAGCATTCTTCCTGGCTTTCGGCATGGGTGCTCTACGAGTTATCGACCCTACCACCAAGACTCCGATCCCGACTCCTGAGCTGTTCAATCTCTTTAGACAATACTCCTACTTCCCCCGTCGCCCTACAGAGGAGCTCCAGCCGGATGATGGATTTCTTGTAAATTATGCCGTGTACCATCACTTCCGCTCCTTGGGATGGGTTCCCAGAGCAGGTATCAAGTTTGGCGTCGACTGGATGCTGTACGCCAAAGGACCCGTGTTTGATCACGCAGAGTTCGGCGCCATCCTCCTGCCATCCTATTCCCACCAATGGTGGAAGGACAGTGACCGCAAGATCCCGCGTAAGACCTGGCACTGGCTTCACGGGATCGTCCGTGTCCTCTCCCACGTCCAGAAGAGCTTGGTTTTGGTCTACGTCGACATTCCGCCGCCTCCTCAATTGGAAGAGGCGATGAAGAAGGGGCCGGCCGAGGTCTTTAAGTTGTACAAGATTCGCGAAGTTATGGTTAAGCGGTGGTCAAGCAACCGCAACAGATGATTTCCCGCATTTCATATTCACGATCTGGGCGGGCGTTGGGAAAAGGCATGGAAAAGTTTGGAGGCGAATGATACAAGCCTGGTCTTGGGCATGGTTTTGAGGTGCTGACCATGCATGGGGATCCATGGTTTACACGAATATTGGGGAGTGTCTATGCTGGCATAAGCATTGTTCACTTTGTATGAGTAAAACGGAAGACTCGGACTACGGCATATTCGGCGACAGCATGCCATTGCCTTTCTTGCTACAGTAGAATACCCCACCATGAATGTAAGATGATGATGAGGCAATCTATCCTGTCAATTCACAATCGTCTCGGTTCACGAGTATGCAGGTTTAGCTGGCGTTTGCAGTTTTCTCCTTTTCCCCACGAGTCACGTCTTCGGCCTCCCGCGGGTTAAACGGAGGTGCTTTCGCCGCCCCCCGGCCCCGGAGTCAACGTCTGTTCTCGGGTTGTCCAAGCCTTTACCAAGCATACCCAAGCCAATTCTTTCCTCCCCTTCATCACAGAGCCCCCCTTCACAAGTTGACACCGCACCATGACCACTCAAGCTTTGCATCATGGCACCAGGTGGCCAAGACTCGGGTCCTCGTGTCCTATTCGGACGAACTGCGACGGTCAATCTTATTCCAGGGACCGAGCCAACCCCACACCGCGCATATGGATTGGGAATGGTGGTGTTTTCCCCGACCTCGCCCCGAAAACCCCGCGATCTATCTGAATCCTTCTAGAGATCTAACTGGGCTAGGTGCCGTCCGCTCGCCCGGCGTGCAGGAGGGTAGCTGAGGCTAATGCCGGCGACAGAGAATGGAGTGGTGTGGTGTTCAATACCTGCAGCAGATGACGTGAGTAGCATCTCTGCTCAATTCAATTTCCTGCCAATCCCAACCCTAGCACAAGAGAAAGAAAAAAGATGAAGCGACGGGAAAGCTAAGGAGCCACGGGAGCTTTAGTCTGCTCAAAGAGCTAATTTGTCTCGGAGAATCGTTGCATTCCTCCACCAGTTCCGAACGTGGCTAAGCTTTTGGGGGAGTCGGGGGGGCCAGGGGGGAAAAGGCAAGAGGGGTAATCTACTAAACTTTGTCTTCATCCCATTGACGGAAGAAAATTCCCAAGCTACGGCTACTACACCATCGCGAGTGGGGGACAGCCAAGTATCCCAGCATCATCCCAGACCTGCCAGGGGTGTGGAGTAAAGTAGGTACAGGCCGTTTCCATTTGCCTTTCGCCGGATTCTACGGTGTAATACCCTAAGCTTTTGTTGCTCGATCTAATTTTCCCTGCAGGACTTTGGAGATTCGGGTTCGTTCTACCAAGCGAGGGGAGAAAGAAGCTGGGTTCCTGGCCCTGGGAGGTGCGGCTGTCTGCTTGGGGTTGCATCAAGGATTCGAGAGCTTTTCCTTGGCTGCACCGGTGTTCGACCGGGGACGGCGTGGCAAGGTTCAGGTGGTAAACGAAGCTGTCGGTATACTCGTAAAGGGTAAAGGGGGACCTGAGATGGTTCTCGTATATGAAGAGGATGGGCGTCCGGTGCGACGAAGGACGTCTGCATGTGGAGTTGCTCCTACTCCCTCAGCTTCGTCTTCAGCTTCACAGTCACTACCACGCAGCACCCAGCAAGCAGCAGCACCTCCTGAAGAAGACTGGAACCAGACAACCACCACAGAAGACTCCACGATGAAGCCTCAAGCCCTCCTCTCGGCCGCGGCCTTCCTCCCGGCCTTCGTCTCGGCTGCCCCGTCAGCGGACAAAAGAGCCGCGAAGCCTCCCGCGTTCTTCCTCGCCGGTGACTCGACTACCGCGGTGCAGTCTACTGGTGGTGGCGGTTGGGGCAATGGCTTCCTCAGCTTCCTGAAGAAGCCGGCGTTCGGCACAAACTACGGCCGCAACGGACGTACTACGGTCGACTATGTCAGCCAGGGACACTGGGCTACCGTCAAGGACGCAGTCAAGTCCAACACGGCCAACTTTGATGTCTATGTGACGATTCAGGTGAGTCTTATACTGCCTCATCCTTACCATCACCTTCTCGGACCTGCTAACACGGCTATCAAATAGTTCGGCCACAACGACCAAAAGCCCGAAAAGAACATCTCCCTCGACCAGTACCAGACAAACCTCGGCAACCTCGCCAAGGAAATCAAGGCCCTCGGCGCGACGCCCATCCTCGTCACCCCTCTCACGCGCCGCAGCTTCAACTCGGCGGGCGTCGTGACCAACAACCTCTCCAACGAGCGCGAGCGCACCATCGCCGCGGCGACGGAGACCAAGACTACCTACATTGACCTCAACCTCAACAGCCGCAAGTACGTCCAGGCCATCGGCGAGACAAAGGCCCACTCGTACAACCTCGTCGAGAGCGACAACACGCATCTCAACGCCGAGGGCAGCGTCGTCTTTGGACGGTTGGTGGCGGACCTTGTGCTGCAGAAGAACAAGGGGCTCGAGCAGTGGTTCACGCCCAACAAGACGTTGAGCGATGAGATTTGGAAGGCGATTAACAGCTCCACTGTCTAAAAGGGGCTTCTAGGGAAAGGCCTATACTTTCGTATTTTTCGTATTCAACTGGATGTTGATAATATCTATTGAAATTGCCTCATAACCTTGCTTCGTTATCAATGATTGTTATGGTGTAAATTTTGCTAAAAATGTGAGATTTGAACTTTGTGGTGGGCAGAATGTTACACATGCTTTGATGGGTGTCTAAGAGCCCTCATTCTTACTCGTCACTTTTCTTCAAGTCTAGAAAGTCAGTCCTGTGGATCCAGTGCAGGGGCCGAATGTGACAGTCCATAAGTCAAGCGAAGTCCCTAGCATGATCTTTTACTAAATGTGAGCAGGAGAAAGCTGAACTCCCCTTCTTGAACTTTGGAACAACTTGGGAAACTTTCACGAAATAAGACCGTCTCACGAAGACAATTATGATAAGTGACGATGCCTATTTTGAGAAACCCAAAAAGTATTGGGCCAACGCGATCGAATTTCGCGTCGCAAGTTTAGTCGGGAAATCTCCGTCAGCCTCAAATCAGATTCCCCAGTGTATCCCGTCGGCTTATAGAACAGCAGTAATACGTGTGTGTGTAAGTTGGAAATGACCTTGCTAAATAGCCAACATCTGGCATGCACCAAACTGGCACCGCATCGTTAGTAATGCCAAGAGAAATTTCGAGTATCTTGTCTCTATCCCCGCTACTCATGCCGTCATGAGTCTCTGCTATTTTCTCCCAGGGTCGCTCTTCAGATGGACCATGGCTGGACGGAGGATGATAAGATTGTGGTGCGAGCAACCTAGAGTCATTATATTTGCATATAAGATTCATGTGAAAGGGCTAAGCTGCGCCGCTCGGAATTCCAAAGTGCTGCCGGCGCCAATAATGGTCACGAGGGCTGGTTCCGCGTGGGTCAATCGAACTATGCACGGCATGTGATATCTGGCTATCTCTGGATGCTAAAGCTGGGGCAAAGGCTATGAGCATAGGATTCAGTTGCGATTGAGCTCAGGCTTGTCAGAGACCTTTGGTGAAAGCGTAGGGCACATTCTGTGCCGAAGAGGCAATATTGTCCATCTGGATCACAGGCAGCAGAAATTCAAATCAATATTAGGTTGCGATGGAACATGGAATGGCATATTTCAATGGAAAGTTGGAGGTTGAGATGGAAAAGATTAGATAAGATGGAAGACTGGTGGAAGACTTGCAGAATACGTACACAGTAAAATGCATGTGAAGAAGGTGCCCCTCAGTCAGGGTACAGTGCGGCATACAGTGACCAAGCTCCCCCGCCTTCCCCAGAAAAAGATGCCATCCGACCGAGGTTCGTCCCCTCGTTTCGGCCCCTTCCTGCCCTGCTGCTGCTGCCGCTGCTCCCCTAAACTCTGAGGTGGGAGCTTCCGTCCCGCCGTCAACGGAGGGTCGAGACCGGAGCTTACCCTTAGGGCAGTGACGAAGTGGGATTGGACCGGCCAACCTCCCCCCTTTAATCGGATCATTGTCCGCTCATCCAGTCTTTACTGTGCACTCGGAAAGTCGTACTTACATATTCTCTTACCTTATAGAGCCCCTCCCTCGGCTCTTGCGATACAACCAAGGTCGCGACGTCCCACCGAGCTGACCAAGTCCAGCTGCGCGTCTCTTGCTGTTCTCCTCGTCGCGCGGCTTCCCAGTAGCTGCCACAACCTCCGTATTCTGTGTTTCTTGGTTTACAGAATACCCCCACTCGACAACGCTGCATTCCTCGCAAGACTTCGACTATGGTCCTGGCACGAACTCTCCGCCCCGCGGCGCGGGTGGTGCGCCTCCTCGAGCATGCGACAACGAGACCGATCATCCCCTCTCCTTTCCTCCGCCGGCGTGTCCTGCCTTCGACCTCCGCTAGTGTTCACACCACCTCTCCAAAGACCCAAGAAGCCGCGGCCCTGCGCCAGGAACCACAGGTCGAAGTGGCTGCAACGATACCCGACCCCGCGCTGCGGATAGACCCGAAGGCGCAAGCAGAACTAGAGGTGGTTGAAGTTGCTATCCTACCGAGTCGCCAGGAGCTTCTTATCACCGGTCAATGTGATGGCCAAAAGCATACGAAACACATAGACGTGGCTTGGCTCCGAGACCGCTGTGGTTGCCCGCACTGCGTCAGCCCTTCCTCGGGCAACAAGTCCTTCTCCACCGCCGAAATCCCAAGCGGAATTGCCTTCGAGAGCGCAAAGCAGATGCCAAATGGCTCCTATGAGATCCGCTGGACAAACGACATCCCGCGAGCTGCCGACGTTGGCCACGTTTCCGTCTTTCCCGCCACCGGCCCCCAGAGTCTGGCGGGGTTGTTGACCGAACGGCCAGTCCTTTTCTTCCATCATGCCAGTGTGAAAAAGGCCCAGAGGTATATGTGGAATAAGGAAACCCTTCTTGATAAGCTTGAGAGGATCGACTATAAAGACTACATGGAGGGAGGCCCGGCTTTCAGGTCAACCGCCCTTTCACTCGCCAAGATTGGGCTCGTTTTCCTCACCAATGTGCCTCAAACCGAAAAGGCCGTAGCTGATATAGCTCTGAAATTCGGTGCCGTCAAGGAGACATTTTATGGCCACACCTGGGACGTCATCTCTAAACCGGATGCTGAAAACGTTGCCTACACCTCCTCTTACCTAGGCCTGCACTCGGACATGCTCTATCTCGACTCGCCGCCTCGCATCCAACTCCTCCATTGCTTGGAGAACTCGTGCTCAGGGGGTGAGTCCATTTTCAGCGACGCCCTACACGCCGCCACCTGGCTCGAAAGATTCCAACCCGAGTCCTACTCTGCATTGGCCAAATACCCGGTTCCCTACCACTACGCCAAGAACGGTTTCTTCTACCGCCAAGCTCGGCCCGTCATCGCTGATAAAATTGGAGAAGACCGCGAGGTCTGGTGGTCCCCGCCTTTCCAGGCGCCTCTCCCAGGCACGCCCGATAAAGCAAGCTCTGAAACTTGGCAAGCCTGGATCAAGGGAGCGCGGATATTCCAAGAAACCCTGGAGCAAGAAGACAATATGTACCAGCACAGGCTCCAACCGGGCGAGTGCGTGCTATTCGATAACCGACGCGTCCTCCACGGTCGCCGTGCATTCGACACGGCAAGCGGGCGCCGCTGGCTGAAGGGTACATATGTCGCCGATGAAGATTTCAAAAGTGCCCTACGGCCGTTCCTCGAACCCATCTGAGGACGTGGAAGATGTTGGATCAGAAATCTAGAAAGCAACATGAACTTGGTTTGATGCGCTCAGTCAGTCGAGACTATGCATGTACATATACCTTAGTCTGGTGCATTTTGGAGAGCCGGCATTGTGGTGCTGGTTTTTAGTCACACACCATGTGTACACGATGATGTTACATGTCCAAATGGAGATCGTGGCAAGTCAATCGAGGAAATTGTGGTCGCTGGTCTTCAATAACCTACGTATAATCCAGCAACTTACTTTTCGATCAACGAAGCCTAACGCCAGATTGAAGAGGAATAAGAACACGTGCTCTCTCCCTCTCATGATGCACTACTTTTTGTGCCTGCGGAAAGGCAAATGCCCAAAAATCACTGCCCAAACGCCCCGTCGTCAATGTCATATCATGATGTCCCTCGAACCATTCCTGATAGGAGATGCCAATGCCTCCTAATCCGTACCCGTGAACATGCGTTTCGCTACTTATCATATGAGCCTCGGTTGTGGTGCACCAGCCCACCTTGAGCACCTAAGACTCCCAGTTCTTAGCCTCGACACCTTCAGGAGGGACAGTCTCGACCTTGCGGTTCTTGACGTCCTCCCAGTCGGTGCTGAGCGAGGTGCCGTTGCTCTCGGTGAAGGACTTCATCATGGCGCGCCGTGCCTCTGGCGTGGCGTCTTTGTACAGCGTCTTGAAGAACCCGTTGATATCGGAGCTGTCGTCGTCGTCGGCGCCTTCGAGCTTATCCCAGTTCTTGGGTCCGGACTTGGAAGAGGTCGGGTATGCGGGGCCAGAGGTCGCGGCGGCCTTGGGTTGCGCGGTTGCGATTGTAGTGGGCGATGGGCTGGACTTGTTCGCTGCCGGAGCGGCGCTGTCGGCGGGACGTTGCAGTGTAGGCCACTTGACGGCCTCCGCCTTCTTGAGTTGAAACTCAATCTTGTTCGCGGTGACGGTGTGCTTCGAGCCAGCGGGGTCGATGCGGCCGTGGAGATGGATCGTGTAAGAGGGCTCATGGCCGGGAATGTGCGACATGCTGATCTGTTGGAAAGCTCTGTTAGCATCTGCCCGGTGCTTTGTGCTCATTTCGAGCAAGACATACCTCAGAATCGCCATAGTCGACCTTGAAGTCGTCCTTGGGGATGTTCTTCGCAAAGACAGTGACTGTCAAAGTAGTACTGCTCTGGAAGAAGTCCACACGCACATCCTTCTTGGGCTGCGGCTTCGCGACCGCCTCCGCCTTGGCAACCTCAATCTCCTCCTTTGTAAACTCCTCCACCTCATCTGTATCAGGACCATCAAGCGAGACGTCAGGCGCAAACTTGACCGTCACCTTTCTCTTCTCATCGTCCCCCGCAAGCTTCTCCAGCCCGCCCAGGATCTGCAGCCGCAAAGCGCAAATGGAGTTCCAGATCGCCCCAAACTTACTCTGCGCCGGATCCTCCGTCTGCCGGACAGCCGTTATCTCGTCCTGCAGCGCCTTCCTAGTACCCTGCGCGAACCCCTTGTCGTCGACCTCGGGCGCCCTCAGCTCGGCCATGCTCTTGCCCTCGACCATGCGCTGGGCCCAGGTGGCGCAGGTATCCGCGTTGGCCAGCTCACCGAGACGGAAGTGGGCGACGGCGCGGCGGTACTGCGCGTCGGCCATGAAGGGGCGGTTGTTGCGGCCCGCGGCGGCGACTTGGGCGAGTTCGGCGTCGCGGAGGGCGCGGCGGAAGTCCTTTGTGCCGATGTAGGCCTTGGAGCGGCCGATGAGCCACTTGGGGGATTTGATGACCTTGATCGCCTTGGAGAGCTGGGTGATGGCGGTTTCCCAGTCTCTGTTGTCGACGG